TAGGGGTACAGCGCTAGCCTTGAGCTGAAGAGCTGAGGGACAGCACCCAGGCCCAGAGTTCAGGCCCATGACCGGACCCAAAAAAAAAAAACAGTGTGCACTGACGAGCGTGCCTAAGACCTGTCTATGTCTGTAAGACATGTCTAGAATCCAGAGTTGGCTCAAGTATCCTGTTCAGGTCACATCTCCATGGAGTCTTTTTCTTTCACCTGTCAATCATTAAGTTCAACTGTTTGGACTGGATAGGCATTTAAGTGTTTAATTTTAAAATAATAGTCTGAAGGAGGGGAAAAATTGGCAGGGAAGAAAGGGGGGAAGATAGAAAGAAAATAAGGGGTAGGGAAGAGAGGTGGGAGACAGTGTGTGTTCCCAGAACCACAAAATAGGAAGGTAAAAGGATCTGTCCCTGTTGAGATGATGAACTGTATTTGGAAGCAGAAATTTATGGAGGAAGAAATGAACAGTATGCACACAGATGGTGCAAGAGGTCCAGCTTGCTGTTGGCTTTCACTTCATGTGACCCAGGTACGAATGAAATAGAACCTTGAAGCAATGTTTTTTTTTTTTGGGTCCGGTTGTGGGGCTTGAACTCTGGGCCTGGGCACTGTCCCTCAGCTCTTCAGCTCAAGGCGAGCGCTCTACCACTTGAGCCACAGAGCCACTTCCGGCTTTTTTCTTTTTGCTTATGTGGTGCTGAGGAATCGAACCCAGGGCCTTGAGCATGCAAGGCAAGCACTCTACCACTGAGCCACGTTATCAGCCCTTGAAGCAATGTTTTAAGCTGTGTTATGTTTTTGTGACTAGGCTTTTTTGTTATTGCACATTTTCTTCTTTTATAGGATTCCCTGCGTGTTGCAAATTCACTGGACTTGCCCCCCCCCCTCTTTTTTTCTTTTTTTGCCAGTCCTGGGGCTTGAACTCAGGGCCTGGGTGCTATCTCTGAAATTCTTTTTGCACTGTACCTCTTGAGAGAGGCAAGCCCTCTACCATTGAACCACCTTCCCAGCCCTCATGCCTGTAATCTTGGCTCTTTGAACTTTGAGAATCTTAGTTCAAAATTCTCATGGGGAGAAAAGTCTGCAAGACTCTATCCAATTAACCAGTATAAAGCTTGACGCAACTGTTAGAGCACCAGTTAAGAAGTTAAGTGAAGAGTATGGAGAGACCCTTTAAGCCTCAGGACTAACACAAAAACAAAGGGGAACAAAACATTCTTCTGGGGCCAGTTTAACTAAAAAGAGGAAAAGTAACTGGAAGCCAAGCAATCTGAGAGCAATTCTGCCTCATGGTTTCTTTTCTTTCTTTCTTCTTTCCTTCTTCTTTCTTTCTTTCTCTCTTTCCTTTCTTTCTCCTGGGGCTTTCTTTCTTTTGCCAGTCCTAGGTTTTGAACTCAGGGCCTGGGTACTGTCCCTGAGCTGCTTTTTGCACAAGGCTAGCATTCTACCACTTGACAGCACCACTTCCAGCCTTTTCAGTTTATGTGATACTGAGGAATCAAACCCAGGGCTTCGTGCATGCTAGGCAAACACTCTACCTCTAAGCCACCTTCCCAGCCCCTCATGGTTTCTTTTAACTCTTGTGCTAAACAAGGTCAGTATCTGAAGTAACAAGTGGAAAGTGAGTGGTGGGCTGGGAAGGTGGCTCAGTGGTAGAGCGCTTGCCTGGCATGCATGAAGCCCTGGGTTTGATTCCTCAGCACCACATAAGCAGAAAAAGCCAGAAGTGGTGCTGTGGCTATAGGGGTACAGCGCTAGCCTTGAGCTGAAGAGCTAAGAGACAGAGCCCAGGCCCAGAGTTCAAGTCCCACGACCAAAAAAAAAAAAAAAAAAGCCATGGAGGCCACCTGGATTGAAACTGGGGTGCTTGCCAGAAAAGACAGGAAGCACAAACTGTTCTTCTGTGCTGTGGTCCATATCAGGTAAATAATTGATGCAAGTGTCTTACCTTGAATATTTGAGAGTGGTTACATAATTTCCTTTGGCCCTGAGGAAGCAAATGTTGCTAAAGTTATGTTGTTTTAGCTTCTAGGAAAGGTAGTATAATACAGTATCATGTAATGGGTTGAGGTAGGCTCAACACAGTGCCTGAGACAGTACCCGATATCTAGGGGACTCATAGTTGGCTCAGACACATACCTGATTCACCTCTGGGTGAATTCAGTATCTACATTTTCCTCCTTATCTACTTTTCTAGGGTCATAAAAAATAATTCTGGTATTTTCTTTTCTTTTTAAATTATACTGGAGACTAAACTCAGGGCCTCACATTTGTTAGGTGGGTGATCTACCTTAAGTCATTTCCTAGCCTTTGGCTTTTATTTTTTTAGATAAAATCTCCAATTCCTGCCTCGGCTAGCCTAGACTGAGATCCTATTTATGCTTCTCCACTTAGCAGGGATGACAGCTGTGTACCACCAAACCCAGCTATTGGTCAAAATCTTGCTAATTTTTTGTCTAGACTTCAGTCTTCCAGATCTCTACCTCTTGAGTAGCTGAGTACAGATGTGACACATCATACCTGGCTTTGGCTTTTTTCTTTGGTCCTGGGACTTGAACTCAGGGCCTGGGTACTGCCCTTGAGCTTCTTTGTACTCAAAGATAGTGCCCTAGGGGCTGGGAAGGTGACTCAGTGGTAGAGCACTTGCCTTGCATGCCTGAGGCCCTGGGTTTGATTCCTCAGCACCACATAAGCAAAAAGAAAAAAGCTGGAAGTGGCGCTGTGGCTCAAGTGGTAGAGTGCTAGCCTGCGCCCAGGCCCAGAGTTCAGGCCCCACGACTGGACCCAAAAAAAAAAAAAGATAAGTGCTTTAGCACTCAAGCCACAGTTCTACTTCCGGCTTTTTCTGAGTAGCTGATTGGAGATAAGAGTCTCACAGACCTTTCTGCCTTGGCTGGCTCTTGGCTTTTTTTTTTTGGGTCAGTCATGGGGCTTGAACTTGGGGCATGGGCATGGTCTCTTTTGCTCAACTTGAGTGAGGCACAGCACCACTTCCAATTTTCTGGTGGCTAATTGCAGTTAAGAGTCTCATCAGAGTCTCATTTTCTTGCCCAGGCTGGCTTTGAATCACCACTCTCAGATCTCAGCTTCCTGAGTAGCTAGGATTATAGGCATAAGCCAACAGTGCCTGGTGTGGCTAATATTTTTGAGGTGGCTTTGATCTTCTGAAATAAAGTAAAACATAAAATATAATTCACACAAGAATTGTTTGATATTTTAATCTTCTAAAATACTTTAATAATTATTTTAATATTGGTGAAAAGACTGATATACAATGCAATTTTATATTTTACAAGGAGATTCTGTACATCAGGGAAACATCTTGAAGTACAATACATCAGGCTTTTCCTTTTTACATTACGATTGTGAACTTCTAACAGAGAAAGGGAACACAAAATCCATTTTTATACATTAAAAAAAAAAACAAACACTACAAAGACTCCACTTCCAAAATATCTTGTAAAAAGAGCATGAATGAGATGAAAGATAAAGCAGAATCCTTGATGGCACATACAAGCAGAAATGTAGCTCAGGATGCTGGACTCTGTGTCAAGCTTGGCACAGCAAAAGGATGGCAATGGATGAAAACCTTGCAAACATCACCTCAGCCAGAGCTGGGGGCTTACGCCAAGCAGTCTCCAACCCAACAAGACAGAATGGTTACAAGTCAAGTTAGCAGTTAGTATGTGCCTACCTTGTATTTAGACCCTTAATAGATTCTTAGAACCCCCAAGGAGCTCTCAGCTAGGCTGGTGTTAATGGCTTTTAAGGAGATGTGGAGCCAGTATTTTTCCATAGCTACAAAACATCTGACAGTAATAGAGAAATCTGAATTCCCCTGTTTCCCTACACAAAAGTGAAAACATTACTTATTTCTTTGCAGTGCTGGCAGTTGAATACAGGGTCCTGTACATCCCAGGTAAGTGCTCTACCATGGAATTTCTCTTTTGGGACTCTTCTTCAGACTAAAAACATACCGTGTCCCCCACCCCCACCCCCCACACTTGGTAGTACTGTGGTTTGAACTCAGAGCCCTGTACTTGCTAGGTTGGCGTGATACTGCTGAGTCATACCTCCAGCCCCAAACACAAAACACTACTTTCAAAGTCACAGTAACTTCTTTGTTTTGAGCCACTATTTTTCTCCAGCACGTTTTGGGCTAATGTTCTCTACTACTTGAGCCACATCACCAGCCTGTTTTTGCTGGTTATTTTAAAGTCAAAGTCTCTCATACTTGTCCGCCCAGAAGGCTTTGAACTGTGATTTTCCAGATCTCAGTCCCCTGAGTGATTAGCATTACAGGTGTGAACCAATAGCGCCACACTTGAGTTGACATTTTTTTTTTTTGCCAGTTCTAGGGCTTGAATTCAGGGCCTGGGCACTGTCCCTGAGCTGCTTCTGCTCAAGGCTAGCACTCTACCACTTGAGCCACAGCGCTACCTCGGGCTTTTTCTGTGTATGTGGTACTGAGGAATAGAACCCAGGGCTTCATGCCTGCTAGGCAAACATTCTACCACTAAGCCACATTTCCAGCCCGAGCTGACATTCTTTAGCAAAAACAATTTTTTTTAATCTTTAGCAAATTTGATGTAGATGTGAAAGCAGAAAAATCTTCTGAAAGGCTTCATATAGAAAGAAAAAAACTGACATCACAGAAAAAAATGGTCTAATCTATAAAACAGCCACAATTTCCTAAATATTACCAGTGAAGAAAACAAAGCCACATGCTCCAGGTAAATAGGAACTATTTTTCTTACTTATAGGTAAGAATTAAGAGGTAAATGATGAGGCTATATGGTTTTCAGTAGAAATTCAAGGAAAACAACCAAACCTCTGTATTAGGAAACTATATGAGTATCTATTTCGAATACAAATGGGGTGAGAGCGGAGCCAGCGCCTAGGTACCAATCATACTGGCTGGGTGACAAGGAACAGCAACTGAGGTGGGGCTGTCAGAGGGCCAGCAGGAGGACTGTGTTGGCATTAAGAGGGAATGTGTACACAGCCCGGAGGTCAGCAGTGGGCCACAACCAGCCCCCTCCTGTGCTTTCTATCCAGCACCCCACTTTGCTTAGGACCTGACTAGGACTGCCTGGAATGTGGGGGCTGCCAGCACACAAGAACTTGCATAAAGTCCCTCCAACTCTGCTTGGATGAGAATACATCTTTTGGTTGAAGTGATTTACAGTATCATTCAGTACAATAAAAGTATAATAACTTAGCTGAGAGAGTGATGCACACTGGTAATCCCAGCCCTCAGGAGGCTCAGGCAGGAGGACAGCTGAGTTAGAGGTCAGCCTGGGGAACACAGCAAGGGCTGTCTCAGACAAAATAGACTGCAAACAAACAAGTTCAACCAACTGTAAAATTTAAAGCCATGAGTCAGTTTTTTTGTCAACTTGGTATTAATAGTAAGGCCTTCTTTATATAGGAAATAGACATGAGTTTCTGATTTGACCAACTTAGGATTCTAGTTGCAGTTCAAACTGTCTAATAGACAGGAATTAAGTCCTCATTACTTCTTCAAGATTTTTTTTTTTTGGGTGCCAGTCCTGGGGCTTGAACTCAGGGCTTGGGTGCTATTCCTGAGTTTTTTTGCTCAAGGCTAGTGCTCGACCACTTGAGTCACAGCTCTACTTCTGGCTTTTTTGCTAATGGAGCTAGCAGTCTCACAGATTTTTCTGCCCAGGCTGACACTGAACCTTAATCCTCAGATCTCAGCCTCCTGAGTAGATAGAATCACAGGTATAAGCCAATGGCACCTGGCCCTGTAGATCCTTTTAAAGTGAAAATCAAAGTGGGGCCCCGGTGGCTCACGCCTGTAATCCTAGCTACTCAGTAGGCTGAGATCTGAGGATCATGGTTCAAAGCCAGCCGGGGCAGAAAGTCCGTGAGACTCTTATCTCCAATAAACCACTAGAAAACTGGAAGTGGCGCTGTGGCTCAAACGGTAGAGTGCTGGCCTTGAGCTGAAGAGCACAGGGACAGCGCCCAAGCCCAAAGTTCAAGACCCACGACTGACAAAAAAAAAAAAAAAAAAGTGAAAATCAGGAAGATAAGTGCCAAAAAAAATAGGACCATGTCAGATCCCAAGCTTTCTCTCAGGTTAGATGGCCTTCCAAGGACTATACTGCTGTGTTATAAGAGGTATAGTGCAATGCTTCCTGCTGACATGCAATGTGGTACACAAGTTTCCTAGGGAAGTGGGTCCCCCATGTGAGAAGGCTGGGGTGGGTCTCTGAAAGGCTTTTCCCACTGACAAGTGGATTTGAAGGCTGGAAACAAGTGCCCATACAAGTGGGATTCACAAGTAGAACAGGATAGGTAAGGCGAATGGTGCAAACTGTGGCTCAGCACAGGCAGTCCTCTTGGGGAAATGGTGTGGTGCAGCCAATCAGAACCTGCTACAGGCTTCAAACTTTGGTGGTTGATGAGGAAAAACCCCCACAAGTATGCTGCAATGTCAGAAGGTCCAAAAGCAGTGACAAAGCATTCGGTTCTGCTCCAGGGGAAGCACAGGAGAATCCATTCCAGTGAAAGGCTACATTCATAGAAGTGCTATTCACCCCAGAACAAGACCCCAGAAGATACAATTCTGGCTGTGCTGGCAAGTGCTGAAGTTCCTGCCATATGTCACTCCCAAGATCAAAGACAGGAGTAAAACAGCCTGTAAGTTTTGGGTGAGTCTTACTTCTCTCAAACTTGGGCATCATGGACGATGGTAGCTAAAACAGACAACCACGAAAAGGCAAGTTACCAGATAATGTAGATTACTTTGTTAAGTCTGTTAAATTTTTAAAAATAAATCCATATTGTGAATCTATCTATCTCTATCTCCCCTGCCCCTGGTCCTGGGGCTTGATCTCAGGGCTGGGGCACTGTCCCTGAGCTTCTTTTGCTCAAGGCTAGCACTCTACCACTTCATGCACAGTGCCACTTCCTGTCCCTCTTCTTGAAATTCATTTTTTTCTTAATATTAGTACATTATATATATTCCATAGCTTTTCTTTTTTTTCCATTACTCCTCCTCAGTGTGCTATCTTGACCTGGTTTGTTTCCTCTCTTTCTTTTTATTTTTTATTTTTTTATTTTTTGGATCCGGTCGTGGGCTTGAACTCTGGGCCTAGGCGCTGTCCCTCAGCTCTTCAGCTCAAGGCTAGCGCTCTACCACTTGAGCCACAGCGCTACCTCGGGCTTTTTCTGTGTATGTGGTACTGAGGAATAGAACCCAGGGCTTCATGCCTGCTAGGCAAACATTCTACCACTAAGCCACATTTCCAGCCCGAGCTGACATTCTTTAGCAAAAACAATTTTTTTTAATCTTTAGCAAATTTGATGTAGATGTGAAAGCAGAAAAATCTTCTGAAAGGCTTCATATAGAAAGAAAAAAACTGACATCACAGAAAAAAATGGTCTAATCTATAAAACAGCCACAATTTCCTAAATATTACCAGTGAAGAAAACAAAGCCACATGCTCCAGGTAAATAGGAACTATTTTTCTTACTTATAGGTAAGAATTAAGAGGTAAATGATGAGGCTATATGGTTTTCAGTAGAAATTCAAGGAAAACAACCAAACCTCTGTATTAGGAAACTATATGAGTATCTATTTCGAATACAAATGGGGTGAGAGCGGAGCCAGCGCCTAGGTACCAATCATACTGGCTGGGTGACAAGGAACAGCAACTGAGGTGGGGCTGTCAGAGGGCCAGCAGGAGGACTGTGTTGGCATTAAGAGGGAATGTGTACACAGCCCGGAGGTCAGCAGTGGGCCACAACCAGCCCCCTCCTGTGCTTTCTATCCAGCACCCCACTTTGCTTAGGACCTGACTAGGACTGCCTGGAATGTGGGGGCTGCCAGCACACAAGAACTTGCATAAAGTCCCTCCAACTCTGCTTGGATGAGAATACATCTTTTGGTTGAAGTGATTTACAGTATCATTCAGTACAATAAAAGTATAATAACTTAGCTGAGAGAGTGATGCACACTGGTAATCCCAGCCCTCAGGAGGCTCAGGCAGGAGGACAGCTGAGTTAGAGGTCAGCCTGGGGAACACAGCAAGGGCTGTCTCAGACAAAATAGACTGCAAACAAACAAGTTCAACCAACTGTAAAATTTAAAGCCATGAGTCAGTTTTTTTGTCAACTTGGTATTAATAGTAAGGCCTTCTTTATATAGGAAATAGACATGAGTTTCTGATTTGACCAACTTAGGATTCTAGTTGCAGTTCAAACTGTCTAATAGACAGGAATTAAGTCCTCATTACTTCTTCAAGATTTTTTTTTTTTGGGTGCCAGTCCTGGGGCTTGAACTCAGGGCTTGGGTGCTATTCCTGAGTTTTTTTGCTCAAGGCTAGTGCTCGACCACTTGAGTCACAGCTCTACTTCTGGCTTTTTTGCTAATGGAGCTAGCAGTCTCACAGATTTTTCTGCCCAGGCTGACACTGAACCTTAATCCTCAGATCTCAGCCTCCTGAGTAGATAGAATCACAGGTATAAGCCAATGGCACCTGGCCCTGTAGATCCTTTTAAAGTGAAAATCAAAGTGGGGCCCCGGTGGCTCACGCCTGTAATCCTAGCTACTCAGTAGGCTGAGATCTGAGGATCATGGTTCAAAGCCAGCCGGGGCAGGAAAGTCCGTGAGACTCTTATCTCCAATAAACCACTAGAAAACTGGA